GGCTCTAAGTGGAGAAAGAAAACAACCCCAGGGTGTCTTCAAACCTAAAGCATATTTCCTAAGCCTTTGCACTCTCAGTCTAGACTGAAAACAAACAAAGCAGCCTCCTCTGAAATGCTGGAAACCCTCCCCACTTGAAACTCTCAGATCTCTTACCTTGCAATTCTAGCTTTCAAATTCCAAGCTGAGCTTCCTTTCCCACACCCTGAGTCCTTGTACTGGGGATTACAATGATCATTTATGTGTACTAGGTGATTGTTCCTTCCACATCAGGGGCCTTGGAGCGGATGACCTAAAGCTGCTTTCTCCTGTCCTGACTTTCTCCACCCAGCACTGCAACCATACATGCAATTTTCTGGTCTTGTAGAGAATGACTGAGTGGTCATTATAGTCTTCCAAAAGGATAAGAGATTGGTATCATGATGTGGTCTTCAGGCAGCCAGGGGGAATCTCCACATGAGGTACTTGTTGACTGTATTACTTAGTTTTAGGTGAACTTCCTGTGGAGGGACAATATGTGCTTAGAAGGACAGAGGAGGAATATATTAGGTAAGGCATTCTACATCTCAGATAAAGAACTTCAATGAATTGTTGGGTCAAGGTCTAAGAAACAAACCAGCCATCAATGGGAAAGTTAACCAAAATGAAGAACCCAACATACAACCCCAAATCCTAGTTTTTCTGACTATGTTTTCTTAAACTGAAATAATTTCTGAGATTAAAAAGAAGTTGCCGTGACTTTGTCTGATAGATGTATTTTTTGTTATATATTTGTTTGGGGCTTCTATCTCTCTTACTCTGTTTTCTTTATAGTAGAATTAATCTCTGAAAAGTAACTTTACTGTATCCTGATGCTCCATTTTGAATAAGTCAGTGCTTCTCCCAGTGGGCTCCAGAGATTGGCATTTGATTGAACAGCTTTTGTCTCTTGATTGTTTTCTTTTAGGTAGACTGGGTACTCCATTTAACTCAGTATTTCTGACAATAAATCAGTTGAGAAGGGAGTATTACTCTAATGGTTTGAACACTTGTCTATGCACATTGCTTGGTCATTCAATAAATAGTTATTGATGAGATCTGGCACATTCAGGGTGGTATGGCCATAGACAATAAATGGTTACGACTCTGTCTTCAGCTGTGCCAGTATTTAAGTTATAAGGTACTTAGGCTACACCAGTGCAAAATCATACAGTTTGGTCACAGTCCTACTCGAGGATCTCAAACCTAGCTCCCCTTAACAAACAGGGAGGCTTAAACTTGGCTTTGCACACTTAATTATTCCTTTAGAAAAATACTTGGTATACAACTCAGCCTTTTCATTTACAAAGAAACAAATTTGAGCAGTTTCACAACTTAAAAAGTCTCCCAAATGGATTATATTTAATTGTCCATTTCCAATGAAACTCACTAAATTGGTAAATAGCAGTGAGTGAATAACTGATGAGGTCATACTTCCTTGTTTTGGACTACTACAAACACCACAGAGCAACAACAGATTAGAATATAAAGGTTAGGTAAGGGTTTAGATTTTGTTCAAAAGCTGTTTTGCTTGTTACAAAGGCTACCAAACCATTGAACATCAGACCAAACCAAAACCAAAACAAGATAAAACAAAGAAAACCCCCAAAACTGAAAGATGAAAACATAGTTTGATAACCTAAGCTGTCTTCCTTTATTTAACCTTGAATTTATGAGATTATTTTTTTCCCTAGAAGAAAAATTCTCTTGGGACACCTTCAGCAATTTAATATTTTCTAAGCATTACAGCAAATAAGAGGCAATCATTCTTCAGTCATAAAGATAAGCCAAGGAATGAAAGTGCTTTTGCAGGTCGTCACCTGACAGAAACTTTGGACTGGTCCTTTCCTGGTTCAAGAGTTCAGCCATAATACCCACTTTCCCTATCAGCTGGCTCAAGCTGATAAGGTCCTGAAGCAAGCAAAGGTTCTTTACGAGCTTTTATTTAATTGTCCTTGCCACATAAGGGTTGAGGGGATTCGTCTGTACAGAGTTACTTCTTGTTGGTCTATTTTTTCTTTGGAATAAGTCGCCGTCTCCCCTGATTGGGTAGAGTAAATAGAATTTGTTTAAACACTTTTCTTCAAATTCCTAGTGCCTAGTACAGAGCTTTTAACCCTAATAGGTCTCCTGTGAGTACTTATTGAAGGAATAATGACCAACTCTGCCTTAGATTGGTGACTGGCTAGGGAGAAACATGGTTCAAGAGCAGAGTAAGTAAGAGCAAGTATTTTATTGTATGCCCATCAAATGTATTAGATGCTGGTGATGGAGGTAAGAGTGTGATTGAGGCTGAGTTATCTGAAATTACGTATGAGACGTTGTATGCCATTTAGTATTAGCTGTGTCTGTCTTTTTTTCCAGGAATTTGGCCTTAAATGAGATCATTCAAAAGTATTACCCAAATAGTGATTTATCAGGCTTGTATTGTAGGGTACCTTTAGTGGATTTCAACTGGTATGGTCCCTTTGAAGGGAGCTGGTGCAAGATTTTCCATGCCTAATCATACTCATTTTCCCTTCCACTCCCAATGACCTCCTATCTTTCCTTCTATTTGGTCTGATAAACACCAACAGTAGGATCCTTTCTGCAGCTTCCATCCTAACTTATATTCTAGTCTTGACACTGCAACAAACTCACTGTTAACTAGAAGTCAGTTGACTTCCCTGAATGTTAGATTCTTCAGCTATAAATAAGCAATTGTGTGAGGTGATGGTTAAGGTGATTTACTAATTTTACAATTCTATTATTTTATGACTGGACCCTAGTTATGATAGCTTGAAGTAGATACTTAATCCACTATTACTCTCTTCTAAGATATAGTTACTAGTTGATCATATTTTTCCTTAAAGGCTGAACTGAATTCTCTGATATCAGGCAACTAAACATCTCATATTTGTCAGTATGAACATCCACTGGGTGCCTGTTATTTAACCAGGTAGACTTCTTAGCTGTGATTGAAAATCTAGGTATCTCTTCTGGTACTATCACTTGGATGAGTAAAGTTTGAAGACCATTAACTTGACAATTCTAATAGGACTGTTGATTTAACATAGATTCCCAGAAGTCTTGGAATACAACAGCGTACACAGATGAAGATACACTGCTTTTTGGTATTTTCTTCTTGCAAGTGGTACAAATATCTGTATGTCATAGCATCATCACTATGGATCTCATCTTTTAATGAGAGCTTAGTATATGCTACACACTGTCACTAAACATGTAGGATCTTGTTTAGTTTTCTCAAAATGTTGTAGTTACTATAATTATTTTTTGTGTCTTGAAATCATCCTGTATAAGTGCATAAACCATATATCTAGAGTTTATAGAAGAATTAAAATTCAAAAACCCTATACACCTCTCTCATTTTTAAAAAATACAATTTTACCTGTCTTTAGATGCCCTGTATTCCCTCTCCAATCTCTTCCCCCTCCTACTCTTGAAAGTGATCACTATCCAAATTTTGTGCCAAACATTAATTTGTTTTCTTTAGCTTTGCCATCTATGTATATATCCCTAGATAATACATGGCTTAGTTATACTTGTTTTTAAATTTGATGTAAATGCAATTCTATAGTATGAATTTTCTAAGATTTGATTAATTTATTAACATTTTATTTTGAGATTCATCAATATTGATGCGTGTAGCTATAGTTTATTCATTGCTATTGCTGAATAATATTCCATTAGATGACTTTGCTACAATTTATTCTACCATTGTTGGATATTTGGGTTGTTCCCATTTTATTTATTTTATTTTTTTGCTGTTATGAACAATGTGGCCTTGAACATTCTTGTACATACCTGACATATATATGTATGTATCTATCTGTCTGTTTGACTTTCTGCCTTAAGATGCACTAGAAAACTGAGACCCAGAGTCACCAAGCAACTTGTTTAATGTCGGAGTGAGTTGGTGGTGAAGCCAAAGTCTGAATTCAGCAGTCTGTTACCATAGTTTTCATCCTTAACCACAATACTGTATGAATCCTTATTTTAAAAAGGAAGGTCTGGACAATTGAAAATAACTTCCTAAAGAGCAGGGATTCAACAAAGCTCAGTCTGACTAATGCCTTCCATTTTAAAGAAATCACCCAAAGCACATATTATGATTTTATTTGTGAAGTATTAGCTAATTACAAGAGAATGAATTCATACTTGGCACTATTATCTCTTTCTTACAAGTGATCAGATGTCAAAATGTGAAAACTATAAATTTCACATTATCTATATATATTTGATGTAACATTTTTCCTTTAGGAATATGAGTAGAAATAGAAAGACAGATTTTTACAATGAAATATATTTTTTTCTCTCTCTCTTTAGCCTACCAAATCTCTTTCACAATACCTAACACTTATAAATGCATTTAATTTCAGTGCCAATTAAAAAAATTCAAAAGTAGATAACAAGATAAGTGAGACAAGCTCCCAGTAAATGTTTATGATGTGACACTGACAAATTATGGGCTGCTATAATCAAGATAGCATTAAAAAGTTAAAAGTGTTTATATGAACAAACCATTTTGGAAGGAGTATTTGGTGTGGCAGTGAGCAAAAACAACCCAGTAACTATGGCAGTTAGTATTAAAGCTCTGATTTTGACATGAAAGGAATAAAAATGGAAGTCCGGCTGAATCACAAGTGTCCTGGAGAAACTTGGATGAGTTTCTTGGCTAGAGGTTTTTCCCACCACAGTAAGTATTTTCAAAGGAAAACAAAGTAAAATTTTTCTGTTGTATGAGTCATATCTCTGTTAATTGTAAGTGGCTGAAACTCATCTTGAACTACTAAGGTAAGAGAAGAAACATACTGGTTAATGGAATTCCAGAAAGGACTGAACAATCAAACCATTTTGAAGGACAAGCATAGAGCTGGACTCTAGAACAACCAAAACAAGGGGTTCAACCGCCGTGGGGGATTTATGTCCAACTCTTGCTCCGGCTTTTCTCCCTGGCTTGACTTTCTTCTCTTTCACTGTAGATTGGCTTCTCACACATGGCAGGAAACATTGCTGCTAGCACTTCCCGAGTTCTACATCCTACAACATCCACCACTGGTGAGAGATTAGCTTATGGTTTTTCTGGTGAAAAGTTAAAAATTACCTAGGGAAAGTCTGATTGTCTCAGATTGGAGATATTGCCCATCTCTGGACCAATATACTATTATGTGTGGCTGATGGGACTATATAAAAACATGGATATTTTCTTGGAATCACTTGGCTTGACTGTGAGAAAAGCATTCTCAAAACAAAGTGAGTGCAATTTATAGAAGGTAGTAGAATAGGCAGATAAAACAGTAATTCTGGCCGGGCGCGGTGGCTGTAATCCCAGCACTTTGGGAGGCCGAGATGGGCGGATCACGAGGTCAGGAGATCGAGACCATCCTGGCTAACACGGTGAAACCCCGTCTCTACTAAAAAATACAAAAAACAAAAAACAAAAACTAGCCGGGCGAGGTGGCGGGCGCCTGTAGTCCCAGTTACTCGGGAGGCTGAGGCAGGAGAAAGGTGTGAACCCGGGAGGCAGAGCTTGCAGTGAGCTGAGATCCGGCCACTGCACTCCAGCCTGGGCAAGAGAGCGAGACTCTGTCTCAAAACAAACAAACAAACAAACAAACAAACAAAACCAGTAATTCTTCACTATATAGCTCAAATAAGCCCCATGACATTTTTAGTACATTATAGAGTTCTAAAGTGTTTCCAAACTATTATAGCAAAAATTAATCTTATAATATTTTCTTCTTGAACTATGTATAATTTACCTGAAATATTTTCCAAAAAGTAATCAAAGTGAAAAAATGAGAGCCTTGTCTTCTTAAAAAAATGAGTGAAAGTCCACAGGTTCAGAACAAAAGAAAATGAGGTAAGACCTAATTCTAGACAAAGTCACATCAGCAAAACTAGAAGGTTGGTACTGTGCTTCAGTTTACTGCTTGCTGTTTGGTTAAGAGGAGGGATGATGTGATAAAAATAGTGACGAAGTGGGAAAACTGATGTATTAGTTTTCTATTGCATTATAACAAGTCACCACAAACTTAAGAGGCTTAAAATCACGCCCATTTATTATCTTGCGATTCCTGTGGGTCAGACATCTAGGCACTGTGTGGCTTGGCTGGGCTCTCTGCTTAGAATCTCACAAGTCAAAATCAAAGTATCAATGGAAGCTGCAGTTCTCCCAAGCTGGAGCTTGTGTCCGTTTTAAACTCTCAGGCTGCTGGCATAATTTATTTCCTTACCAAGCCTTCCATATAATCCTCTCCATCTTCAGGCCAGCAATGGCCTATCAAATCCTTCTCATTCTTTGAAAATCTCTGACTTCCCTTTCAGTCACAGCTCTGTAACTTCTTTTCTCTTCTGCCACCAGCAGAAGAGGTTTTTAAGAGTTTATGGGATCAGATTACATCTCTCTGGATAATCTTTTACTTAAAGGTTAACTATGCTATATAACATAGTCGATCACAGGAGTCAATGATGTCTCATCACATTCGCACACTGCAGAGACTAGGGTATAAAATCTTGGGGGTCATTCCTAGAAATTCTGCCTGCTACAGCCTGGTTTCTTGGTTGGACTCTAGCATATATTTGCTAACTCTCCTAAGCCTCAGTTTCATTATTCGCAAAAGTGAGTTATAATGCTCTTTGCCCTGCTTGCCTCACAGGATCTTAACGTAGATGTAAGATCAAATGTAATAGCATGTCAAACAATGTGTAACTCAGTTATACAAACATTACTGTATCTCATTGGGGATACAAAGCTCTACACACTTGAAGATGGTGAAGGAATATAAAAATGTAAGTTACTGCTTTTATAATAAATGTGTTCCTATTGGCTGAAAATTTCAATATCTGATACAAATAGTCAACTTTCTATTTTACTTTTTCTAATTATGCAAGACCTTGTAATCGCAAATGTAAAAATTGCAAGCCACATGCCACTAGGGCCAAATAAAAATTTATAGAATTCTCTTAAAAGGACTCTATATATAGAGTCCAAATAAAAATACATTGAGTCATTTTAAAAGGATCCAACCACATATATCAGCTGAACTCTACATATTACCAAAAACAATGGAACCTTTTCAGATTCTCTAATTGGCCTTTGGAACTTGTGTAGCATCAAGTATGCAAATGAACAACTTCAGACCTCGATTACTCCAACCTCCTCTCCCACTGTCACAACCACTTCTGTCATGACCTAGTTATTCTCAGAAAGTTCCCTCTTATACCTGGTCAAACTTCTCTTGCAATCACCTGTGACTCTCCCTCTTGGTCTTGGATCAAATAATCCTAAATACATTAAAAGTCCTGATTCTTCCTGCCCCTTATATTTATCTCTACTTGAATCACTATGTTAATTCAGGTCCTCTGAGAGAAAGATGCTAAGATGAAATTAGATGTGCAAGAGATTCGTTGAGGAAAACCTTGTGGGAGAAAATGGAGAGGTACCTAGAGGAGCCTGGGCAGACTGTCTGGCTGCTATGTAAGACTCATCCCCATGAAGGAGAAAGGACAGGAAGGCAAAGAAGAAAACCCTTAAGATTTCAATTTTAAGAAAGTTTTGACAAAGCTGATTGGGAGTATTTAAGGCAAAGCTGCCTGCCAGAAGAGTACTGCATCTTTCAGGAACGAACTTGCTTTAGTACATCTGCTGTGCTTAGTAACTGGCTGGGAGCAGCCACAGAAAGCATGGACTCAGAAAAAACTTGGTGATGAATTTCAGAGGCAGCGGCTAAAACCATCAGTCTATTATTATTCTTGCAATAGTTGTCATAATTACTATCAAACAATTTTTTGTGTGTGAATTCATGAGATAATGGTCTTTTCTTTCCTGCTTTCAAGAGCCATGTCATTGAAAGAGCTAATCAATTAAATTTATGCTGGATTACTGACTAAATACTTCCATTTATCATACTTTATTTTAAAATACTTTAACTCATAGCCCAATGGTTTTCAGTTAGCCAAATTCTCGCTTACCATCCTGGTTGCCCCTTCTGTCTTTTCCTTAGAAACGTTATTATAATATTTGCAAGATGTCCTGAATCCTAAACCCCCAATCTTCAATGAGCACCAAATGGTGATTATAGATGCGCAACTGTAGAGATATATCAGACAAAGGAAACTTCATTAGTATGTACCAATGTTTGGACTCCAAATGCTTTTGTGTCTGAGTCAAAAGGACTCCTCTTCCTTGGTGGCTTAAAGTTAGGCTGAAGAAGATTTACATCATGTTGTGCATGACCTCTTTAGTTTGGTTCTACTTATTCTTTCAAGAAGGCAAGAGTGGGAAAGGTGTCCCTTAGTGAGCATATTTTGTACAAATGAAAACAGGGTACTAACACTTATGCCAGGACGCATGCATAAACTAGAGTGGTTCTGAGAAAACTGGGATATATGATCACTCTAGGGTCTCCCCTCTCAGGGGTAAGGGAGACTTAAACCTTTTACATCACCAAGTAAATGGAAAGAAAGACAGCAGGGAAGTGATTCCAAAGAGAACCCTAAAAAAAGCAATGCAGAAAGAGAAACACTTTAGCCTTTTCTTTCTTCTCAAAACTTCACATTCCTTTTCACTCTGCTTCACTTACGCTGCCCTAGTTCCAGAGTGTTTCCTCTCTTGGGTGAAGATGGGAACAAGTACATGGGCCAGCAAGGCATGGGTGGGACCTGTGCTCCCATTAAGGTTCTTCCAGAATCATTTCTACATGATTATCAGCTTGGATCACATGGACTTGGGGATTATTGGTAGTTTTCTGGGGGTAAACAGGGCATATTGTGTCAGAGGACTTATTTTATCTGTAATAATTTGGGGAAATTTTCTTTTCTATTAAGTAAAACCGAGATATGTAATGAATTAGGATGAAAAATTCATCTGAATTTTATAAGTGAATCATGAGAACTCAAAGATACTTAGCCCTTGGGACCACTTTATGCTCCTGTTCAAATCCCTTCGGCTAAGCATGATTATTTACTATTTTCAGCTATTAGTTATGTCTTGGAAAAGTTTGAAAAGAACTGCCCAATAAATTAGAGTGTGTGCTCAATATTCTCTTAACTTCTTTGTCTCTTTCCGAAATTGGATCAAACAATATTGGACATGATCAGCTTCCTACTGTTTTGACAACCATCTGAGGATACTTTTATAATTGATAATTTGGACTAGATTACCCAATGTGTGATGAGACACAAGGCAGTCTAGACTCCCCATGATATGGGGGGGTATATCAAATGGATATACATTTGAGTAGGTAGAGAGATGAGCCAGGGTTTATTTCTTCAACTAGTATTTACTGAATGGTCCTATGTGCCACAGCTGTTCTGGAAACTGTGATACATTAATTAACAGATAAAGCCTTTCCCTCACAACGCATAACAGACCTGACAGAGAATAATGTACATACAAACTAGTAAATGAGAAAACAAATAAAAGTATTCAGATAGTGCTATAACTAGTGGGATGTAAATCGAGCAGGAAGGAAGATATAGCCTGCTTGAAGTGGGAGTCAGGGATAGCCTCTCTGAGGAGGTGACATTCGACCCGAGACCTAAATGAGAAGGAGATAGTCAGATGAAAATGAGGGAAGTAGCAATGGCAAGTACAGAGAACTTGAGACAACTTGGCCCATTGGAGGGACAGAGACAAAGCCAATGTGGGACTACAGTGGATGAAAGGGAGACTGATTGGAGAAATAGGCAGTGCTGAGGCCATAAAAGGTCCTATAGGTCATGGAAGGACATTTGGTTACTATTCTAATGACAGTGAGATGTTACTGGGGAGTTTTAAACTGGGGAATGTCATAACTGTCCAGATGTAACCAAACAGTAAAACCATTCTTCCTGAATAACTTGGCTAAAAAGAATATTATGACTACAGATGTACATGAAGATTAAGCAGAACATGGAAGAAAGGCCTCAACTAAACTTGACCTCACATAAATATGGGAGGAAGATCAAATGGAAGCTGGGAGTGTTAAAAGAATGTAAGGGGAATGACTTCTAATAATGAACAAAAGGCTATATTTTATTATGAAGAAAAATATTATGCATCTTATATATGCAGAAGAAATTCCCATTCAAAAGACTTGGAAAAGTCTTGAGTGTTTAATAAACCTTTTAAGATATAGAAAATTCACATATTTAGAGCTTAATTTCTAAAGAGCTCAGACTTCTCAGTGTATTATATACTATGAAATTTTGTTTATTTTTAATTTAACCTACTTGAGTGCAAAATCAATAAGGAAGCTTAAGGAATATAAACAACTATTTAACATGGCCATTTAAATA